TGGTCTTATTCCTACTCCGATCCGCCGTCGCCGGTGATGGAGTCCGGTGGTCTTCTTCGACTGCTCCGATCCGCCGCTGCCAGTGAGAGTTGGGACTTGGGAGAGTGGGGAAGAGTGGGGAGAGCACACGATCATTGGTCCCGGTTCGTGGCTCCAACCGGGACCAATGCCTACCCTTTAGTCCCAGTTGGTGGCACCAACCAGGAGCAAAGCCCTCTGCTTCCCGCCCTTTGGGCTGCTGAAAAGTGACCTTTGGTCCCGGTTGGTGGTACCAACCAGGACTAAAGAGGGTCATTGGTCCCCGTTGGTGCCACCAACCGGGACTAAAGGCTTTGCTATATAAGGAAAATTTCAGAACCGCATCCCCACTTCGATCTCTCCTTCTCCTCTTGATCTCCCGACGCCGTCGGCTGCCGCCACCTCACCGTCGCCGCCCCGTCGCCGCCCCGCCCAGCCCCGATGTCGTTGCCGTCCCGCCCCGCCCCGACGCCGTCGCCGCCCCGCCCCGCCCTGCCGCCCCGACGTCGCCGCTCCCGACGCCGTCGCCGCCCCGCGCCGCACCTCGCCTTCGCCGTTGCCATCGTCGTCGCCGTCGACCTCGCCGTGAGCAACGTTTTATGATTTTTGTTAGATTTTTTTTGTAGTTTATAGATTTTTTTGTTAGATTAGATGTGTAGTAATTTAGATATGTAGTTCATACTATGTTAATTTAGATTGTGTAATTAATTTGTTCATATTGTGTTAGATTTTTTTTCTGTTAATAGATTTTTTGGTGTAATTAATTTGTTCATATTGTGTTAGATTTTTTTCTGTTAATAGATTTTTTTGTTGTAGTGTTAGACTTTTTTTCTGTTAATAGATTTTTTTTGGTGTAATTAATTTGTTCATATTGTGTTAGATTTTTTTTGTTAATAGATTTTTTTTCTATTAATTTGTTCATAGTATGTTTGGTGATATTATTGTTAATAGATTTTTTTGGTGATATTTAGATTGTGTTTGTAAGTACTATAATTGAACTAGCTAGTTAGAAAAATATAATTACTATTTTATTTAGATTTTTTTGGTAATATAATTAGTTAGAAAAATATTAGTTAGTTAGAAAAATACTAGTTTATTTTTAGTAAGTACAATATAGTAAGTGCTACTTTGTTTTTAGTAAGTACTACTTTATTTATTTATAGTAAGTGCTTAGTATAGTTGAACTAAATAGTTGATTTAATTAATAAAACTACTTTATTTAACTATATACAGAAGTAGTTTGTAGTAAGTGCTACTTTATTTATTTATAGTAAGTGCTACTTTATTTATTTATAGTAAGTGCTTAGTAGTTGAACTAGATAGTTGATTTAATTAATAAAACTACTTTATTTAACTATATATAGAAGTACGTAGTTCCCGCAACAACGTCGGAGATGCCTATCCCGCATCCTCGTCGTCGTCGACTCAGCGCTGGAGGCCTGCTTGATCAGGGCCATGTTCGGGACTGGGCTCCGCCGAGCTGGTATTGGAGGTACTACCTTCTGGGGGACGTAGGTTGGTGAGGAGGCAGCCCATTGTTGACCCGATCCTTGTTTGGTGGCGGTCGCGTGGGCCAGTGACGGTGCCGAGGCTTCCGGACATTGCGGAGGTGGTACGTCACCATGTCAGCGAGGAGGACAAGCACGTCCGTCGCTACATGGTTGCGTTGGAGGGCAGGTTCGACAATACCTGGCAGGTTCTTCAGGGATCTCACTGGAGCTATGATCCTGTGATCGTTCCTTATCTTTGGGTGTCCACCGCCCGCGACGATACCCGTGGGGCGCTACGATTCTAGCTGTATTAATTAGCGATGCTATATGTATGATAGTATTCGAGGAGTATTCGATGATGTACGGACACAAGAGATGATGTACTATTAGTTATAATTGAATGCATGCTAATTTGAATACTACTTTATTTTATGATTTGGTTTTGCTTATTGAATGCTCATATTGGAAAAGTACTCCTACTTTGAATGCTAAAATTGAAGAGCACTCCATGCAGAAATCTAGGAGCCCCCTCCATCATCCACGCCGTCGTGGGGGTAGCTTCTCCTTCATTCCCGTGTGCTAGACAATTTGTTGTAACAATGCACTCGGGAATGAAAGGAGGAGCTACATACCATCACCGATAGTCAACCCGTGATTAATAATAATGATCTAATTTAGGTTTTTAGTACATATATTTAATATTTGAATTATGAACATAGGCCAGAAATGTCGTACTCATCGAACGACGAAAACCGCCCGGGGGAGTGCGACTAGTGCCACGACGACCGAGGTATCTGCGACAGGTTCATTGAGATGGACGAAGATCGGCGCTTCAGCATTAAGCTCGAGGAGACCTGCGATGTTCATATGGTACGCGACGACGACAATAGTTTTTTTCGTAATTGAGCACGACTTCAACTATTTTAAGGTGTATTTTTCATCTTTTCCAATTCGACTAGCTTATCCCATGCTTTGCAAGACGCTATGTCTTGGAGAGGATGGGTTTTGAAGACCATGAAAGTATGGAAACCAAAAAATTATCCTAAGTACCCATCATGGTGTGGATTTTCAAGTAAAGTTGTACAATGCTCAGAGTATAACCCATTTTGGTTGCAAAAATTGGGAAGCACTTTGCAAGATGTATGGTTTTGATGAGGGTATGCTTGTCACCATGGATCTTGGTGATCCTACAATCGCGCAAGACAGACCTACGATTTTCGTCCTTGTGGATACACCTCCAATTCTTCCCCCATGTGAGCTTAACATAGTTATTAAGTAATTTATATTGTTTATTTCAAAATAGTTGACAACTTATTTCCATTGACAGCTTATTTTCATTCTTCAAAGAATGTGTGGAAGATGGTAGACATAACCTACTACACCGAAGGCTCCGAACTAACTTATCAGGAGAAAAATCATCTGGTCAGATTTTGTACTGATCTTGAGAATTACAATGTCTACAATCGAACTCTTCAACATTATGGTCAATACGTGCCACTAGTGCACGTGTTGAACTACGGTAACTACCATGGAGATACCCTGGTAAGATTTTTTACTATTACAACATCCGTGCATCTTTTTGCACACTTCTAAAACTAGTACATCATTGCTAACTACGAAGTTATTACTATGTTTTTCAACAGATAATCCCGAATGATTGTGTGCCTCATCTGATGTATACACACTGTAGCCTTCATGTTTTGAACATACAACCGGGTCTTCCTACGAATCTGAGCTGTCCATACCGTGTTTCTAAAAGAAGTGGAGACATGACAATCAAAGAATGGAAAAAATGTATGGACAGTCGTAAGGAGCTTCTTGGAAGCAACAATCAAAGGGCAAAAAATGGAGACAGGATGATCGCCATTCTTCATAATGAAGAGTCCGGGTCTATATCGTTTTATGCTATTTTACCTTAAGGGTGTGTGTCCTACCTAATACTGATGATCATGTGCTAAGAACAATTATGTAGGGTTGGGTTCGATGACTATGAGGATGATGATCGTATGACTTATTATTAATAACGAGTAGAAGTTGTATGATGATGCATGATTAGTAGGACTTGTTATTATATATGATGATGTATGATGCGAGCATGCATGAGTTATTATATCAGCTGGTGAAATGAACATATATAGCAGCAGCGTTGGTAAACCAAGGACGAAGATATAAGAGAGGACACTTCTCTCTATTAGCTAGCTAATAACAACCTAAAAATAACCCCCAAAACCCCTAAAGTAGCCACTTTTCTAAAAAAAACATGGACTTTTGGTCCCGGTTGGTGCCACCAACCGGGACCAAAGGCCCCCTGACTGGGCTCGGCGCACAGGGCCACGTGGAGGCACATTGGTCCCGGTTCGTGTTTGAACCGGGACTAATGGGTGGAGGTATTAGTAACGACCCATTAGTCCCGGTTCATGAACCGGGACTAAAGGCCCTTACGAACCGGGACTATTAGGTGTTTTTCTACTAGTGGAGGGAGCGGTGAGGGGTGGTGAAGCTAATGTTGTCGGTGCTTCAGGAAGCAACGCGGCTTCTCGAGCGTGGCCGCGCGCGTGCAGCCGCACCTGCCCACGTGCACCGTTCGGGCCTGACCCTGAAGAAACTGCCGATTCGTGCGTTTCCAGTGAGCCAGGCCCAGAGGTGCTTTAAGAAACGTGCGATGCAGACCCAATAGTGTTTGTGGGCTACCAAACATGCCAAATCCTTCCCGCGCGGGCCTTGTTGGACCTGATGCGGGCAACCAAACACGCCCCTCGTGAAGACCTTTAGGCCGCTACAACAATCTGCAGAGGGTCCAGTGTCGTAGGCTGAGGTGGCGTAGATGATTGAGTGATCCAACCAAAGATGATGAACGCTACTACCATCAAGGGATCAACAGTCCCATATTGGATCCGACCCCACGACCTTCCCTCCTCGCACCTTCGGCAGTAAGAGGTCCCGCCGTCACCGCGACAAGAGCCGGCGGCAGTGGTGGTTGGTGAGGACGACCCGATGGTGGCAAGTGCGTTTCCCCCGGGTCGCCCGACCCAAGAGCGGGACAGGGTATGACGGTTTCTGAGGACTATGAGTTTAACTAAACGGAGGATTATCTATGTTGCATAGAATGTTATTTGGATCTCGCAAAACCAATTGTGGATTCTCGTTTTATGCCCATCCCGTCCCTCATTCCCGGTACCTTGAGCACCTCTTTTTTTATCAACTTTCTTTCTGTCACAACCAAACCATTTTATTTGTATAGAAATTAACCACTTCCTCCTATACAAAATAAATGTTGCAGTTTTGAACTAAGGGAGTAGTTACATTCTTGTGAACTCGAATAGAATGAAATAAAATCTCGCAGTGAACCTCTGAGTCTCTGACGCAGTTCAGTTCAGACTTCAGAGTGAACTACGCCTAAGCACCAGGTCAGAGCAAGCTAAACTTAGGTACGGATGGTATGATCTTCAGTTGAGTCGGAGCTTAGCTATGACCTGCGCATCAAGGTCAGCTTCAACCGCAGCAACCGTAGTTTTGATCTTGGGCTTGAGCAGCTGCGGCGTGCCATCTCTGCAGGCCCTTCCGGACGTTTTCGCCGTCGTCCTTGCGGTCGCGGAAGGTCTCCATGTCGTCGTTCATGTTGGCGATGATGGACACGAGCAGCTCTATCTTCCAATCCTCGATACGCGCGAAATCGCAGTACTTCTCCCCGAACTCGTACATTTTCTCAGGATCCACGCCGGCGATGTCGTGGGTGTACTTCTTCGGCACGCCGGCTGCCTCCCTGGCCCGGTAATACTCCTCCACGGACCGCAGCATCTCCTCCTCCGGCGGCAGCGCCCGCCGGCCGGACAGCACCTGCGCGACCCACTTCCCCTGCGCCTCGAAGAACCACGGCACCAGGACCTTCCTCGGTATGCCGACGAAGGAGAGCGACGGCGCCAGGGACGGCGGGAACACGTGCTCGAACAGCGGCCCCACGCGGTTGTCGTCGACGGTGACCGCGCCACCCGTGTCCAGGAACGTGAACGAGTAGGTGTACCCCGTGCAGTACATGACAGTGTCGGCGTCGACGGAGGAGCCGTCGGCGAACGCCACGCGGCCGTCCGCGTACAGACGGTCTATCTGCGGGTGGAGGTGCAGATTGGCGTGGTTCGCCAGCATCTTGGACATCGCCGGCGTCATGGCCTCCTCCATGGACTTGGCGGTGAGGTGCACCTCCTTGGCGACGCGGCGGAGGTCCAGCGCGATGTCCTTGCCGCTGTCCCCGCACCCGATCATCACCACCACCTCGCCGCGGAACGGCTCCGGCGTCCGGTACGAGTGGCTGTGCAGCTGCCTCCGCCGCCAGTCCTCCATGCCGTTGATGGTCGGGAGCTTCGGCTGCGAGTAGTGGCCGGTGGCCACGACGACGGCATCGAACACCTCCTCCTTCTCCTCCTCGTCCGTGCCCGTGCCACCGAGGTGCACGGTTCTCACAGCCCATTGATGCGTCGACGACGTGGGCACGGCCGCGACGCGCGTGACCCTGGTGTGGAGTCTGACGGCGTCAGCAAGCCCGAACGCGTGGCAGAACTCCCAAAGGTAGCAGTACACCTCGCGGTGGGTCGGGAAGCGGCGAGGGTCGCGGCCGGCGACGCCCTCCCTGGGAAAGAACTGGAAGTCGGAGAAGCCCATGGCCTCCCGCGGGCTGATGAGACGGAGGCAGGCGTACATGCTGCTGTGCACGCGCACCGGCGCGGCCCCTGCCTCGAGCAGGCCGTCATCGTCTGTCCTCGGGTCGTACAGCCACTGCCCGCCGACGTCGCCTCTCTGCTCCATGACCGTCACGACGTGGCCCTCTCGCCGCAGCTCGCGCGCCGCCGCCATACCGGCCATGCCGGCTCCCACGACGCACACATTCTTCGACTCCAGCTGCAGCGGCGGCTCAGCTGAGACCATTCCGATCACCAACCACGCACGAAGGAGGGAGTTTATGAAATTTTTGGAGACGTGCGACTGAGCGAGCGAGTCTTGAGTGCTTGACTTAGCTTTATATAGGACACCAATACTAACGTTTAATTTTATTTTGCTAGAAAAAAAATGAGACCAACTCAAAGACTAACCCTCGTTGACTTTTTTTATAGAAAAAATTCCGCAAGCATCATGTGTTCAAGCCGGGACTTGAACTCCGTGAGCTGGCAGCAGCCTCAGCTGCCCAGCCAACGAATTGACACCCCGTCCTCAATTGTTGCTAGCACTTTGGTAGGGTGAAGCTAGTGCATCGACTGATGAACCGACAAGACGAATCCAGGTCCAGACTTGTTAGGTATTCTGTTGCCCCATTTAGAAATAAAGGAGCTCTCGATGATTAGCTCAATCCCAACTACTACTCTGTTTGTGCGATGTGCAGCAAGACAATACGTAACCTACACCCATAACATAGCCAAAAATTTCCCGTAAGAAAAACATACTCCCTCCGTTTAGGTGTGTAAGTCATCTTACGAAAACCAAATAATCTTAAAATACTAAGGCGCGATGCATTAACTTCTACCTTGTTTCTTATTTCTTCACATATTAATCAATAAGAGACAAGAGGTGTGCATGCTTTTAATGACTTGAGACTACCAAACACGACATGCAATGGTTAGTTCATTGCATGCAATGCTATTAATTAGTAAATAAACATTAATGTCTCTCGTTTTTCCTCCTCCTTGATCACGGTGCACAACCTAAAATGACTTACTCACCTAGACAGAGGAAGAAGCCAAAAAAGACAAATAAATGCTCCATTGTTCTCCAGGTTTCTTAGATTATCCCCGGTGACAAGTCATCACACACAGGCCACCAATCTATCTTTACCCGTCGAGTCGACGACGCTTTAATAATGCCAGTATAATAATATACGTGAATGATGCACACGGACCACGAGCACATGAGTTCGTCCAGCAGCGACTTTTCTGGGGTTCAAATCCATGGGCGATTTGATTTCCACCATGCAAGTGCAGGATCATTCGTGGGTATTATTTCCCCTAAATAGCCCTTTTTGGATTTTAAGCACCGTTTTTTTTTTTGCGCTGGAGGATTTTAAGCACCTCAATGTCCCTCCGAAAACTTAAAACGATGCTATACACACAATGTAGACTGCACGATTTATGGACGATGTTGTCAATCTAGCCGTTGGTGTGAGGAGCAAACTCTAGAACATTGTCTGATTATGCATCGTGCATAATCGGCCAAGCACTGTCGTTCTCAGAGTAGTTCCGAAAACTTATTGATAAGTCTGGCGTTGACATGCAAGTATGAATGTTGACTTGATGCAGAATGATGGTTGGGCAGTGACAGCAGTTGCGTATCACATGTAGTTGTTAGGATCGTGGAAAAGTGATGACGACAACACATAAAGGTCGTTGATGGTGGTGCTATTCAAGCAATCAAGCTCGAGCCCTGGTTGAAAGCCTAGGTCCAACCCGAATTGGTTAGGGCATCTCCAATGCCAACCCTCAAACCACCCGCAACCGTCTGGACTGCTCGGTCTGGACATGTTTGCCATCCAATGCGGACCTGTATCGGTCCGTCGACCGATCCAGACCTAATTTTTCCCGCAAACCGCAAACCAGCCAGGGGGGGGGGGGCTTTGCAGCCATCCGGACCGCAGCCACGCCCGTGTCAGACAACTGTGGCCAATAGTACAATTCTTGGTTTATCTTTTTCCTTTAGAGTCTCCACATAACACCTGTTAGGAGAGCACTTCAGTAGACCAAGAAATGAGTTCACGCCTTTAATGGAGATTACATATTTAATCACGGTGATATGACCTGTTATATAGTTCCCGATCAAGACCATATAAGCACACTAAATAAATAAACATGACCTCTCACAAAATGTGCTAAATGAAGCAATGTAACCCACTACAAAATGACATTTGACTATATATACTGTCTGAAGAATACAACAATAAATAAAAATGTTAGGTCAGAAATGAAGCAAGTGGAAACAACAAATCCTCCAAACATTCTATATACTAGAGGTTGCCGCGCGCTTCCTCGCGCCGTTCTTCACTCATGAAATTAACTCTCTTTTTCTTTAGCATGTCATTGCAGTTGGTTTTGTCATTTTGATTCTATCTATGTTGGCTTGGATTTCAATTATGTTCCGACCATTCTTTCTTTTCATTCATATATCTTGTTCGGCTATTGTTTAAAATTGTATTTGTTTTAAGAGTTGAGTTGAGTTGATTGATGGGTGGTTATGGTGTTCTTCACGTTTCATCATCAGTGTCAGCTGGTGGTGCTTGTGTGATCCCCTGAGAGCTCTTATTCCATGTTTAGATCATGGAATTTGCTGCTATAACACTTATATGGGCCGGCCAATGAAACTCTCGCTAACTCAGTTCGGCTCCTGCTCTGCTTGCTTAGCTTTTTTTTCCGCTCGCTTAGACAAAACCGGCTATCGCATTTTTATTCGATTTTTTGTTAAATAAAAATCTTTACAACTTTTAAAAATGTAAATCAGAAAGCCCAATTAACCGGAGGCCCAATGCCAGTTTCATGCTATTATATTATCTATTTTGGATTTTTTATTGTTCCATGCTATTATATTTATTCGATTTTTTATTGTTCCATGCTATTATATTATCTATTTTGGATGTTTAATGGGCTTTCATATGCTCTTTTATTATTTTTGGGACTAACTATTAACTGGAGGCCCAATGCCAGTTTCTGTTTTTTTGCCTATTTTAGAATTTTGCAGAAAAGGAATACCAAATGGAGTCCAAATGGAATGAAACCTTCGCGGTGATCTTTCTTGGACCGAAAGCAAACCAGAAGACTTGGAGTTGAAGTCAAAAACTCCACAAGGCGTCCACGAGGTAGGAGGGCGCGCCTAGGGGGGTAGGCACGCTCCCCACCCTCGTGGGCCCCTCGTAGCTTCACTGACGTACTTCTTTCGCCTATATATACTATTATACCCTAGAAACATCAGGGGGAGCCATGAAACCACTTTTCCACCGCCGCAACCTTCTGTACCCATGAGATCCCATCTTGGGGCCTTCTCCGGCGATGTGCAGGAGAGGGAATCAATCACGGAGGGCTTCTACATCAACAACATTGCCTCTCCTGTGAAGCGTGAGTAGTTTACCACAGACCTTTGGGTCCATAGTTATTAGCTAGATGGCTTCTTCTCTCTCTTTCATTCTCAATACAAAGTTCTCCTCGATGTTCTTGGAGATCTATTTGATGAAATACTCTTTTGTGGTGTGTTTGCAGAGATCCGATGAATTGTGGTTTTATGAACAAGATTATCTATGAATTGGTTCTTCTCTGAATTCTTATATGCATGATTTGATATCTTTGCAAGTCTCTTCGAATTATCGGTTTAGTTTGGCCTACGAGATTGATCTTTCTTGCAATGGGAGAGGTGCTTAGCTTTGGGTTCAATCTTGCAGCGTCCTTTCCCAGTGATAGTAGGGGCAGCAAGGCACGCATTGTACTGTTTCCATCGAGGATAAAAAGATGGGGTTTATATCATATTGCTTGAGTTTATCCCTCTACATCATGTCATCTTGCTTAATGCATTACTCCGTTCTTATGAACTTAATACTCTAGATGCATGCTGGATAGCGGTCGATGTGTGGAGTAATAGTAGTAGATGCAGAATTGTTTCGGTCTACTTCACACGGACGTGATGCCTATGTCCATGATCATTGCCTTAGATATCTTCATAATTATGCGCTTTTCTATCAATTGCTCGACAGTGATTTGTTCACCCACCGTAATACATGCTATCTCGAGAGAAGCCACTAGTGAAACCTATGCCCCCCGGGTCTCTTTTCCATTATATTACATCTCTTTTCCATTATATTGCATCTCTTTAAATCTCATTTACTATTTTGCAATCTTTACTTTCCAATCTATACAACAAAAATATCAAAAATATTTACTTTACTATCTCTATAGATCTCACTTTTGCGAGTGACCGTGAAGGGATTGACAACCCCTTTATCGCATTGGTTGCAAGGTTCTTGATTGTTTGTGCAGGTACTAGGTGACTTGTGAGTCGTCTCCTACTGGATTGATACCTTGGTTCTCAAAACTGAGGGAAATACTTATACTACTTTGCTGCATCACCCTTTCCTCTTCAAGGGAAAAACCAACACAGGCTCAAGAGATAGCATAAGAGCATCTCCAGCCGCACCCCCCAACAGGCCCTCCAGGGCGATTTTTTTCGCGCCGGCGTCAGAAAAACCCCCCAGTCGCTGCCCCAAGACGCGGAAATCCGTCGGCTCGACCCTTTTTTGGGCCTGGCGATCCCAGGCTGAACCCAGGGCACCCGGGGGGCGCTTGGGGGCTCTGGCGGAAGGGAAAAATGCGTCTGGGCTACAACTTTCAGGCGGAAATGCATCTTGCACGTCCAGGTTTGCCTTCCCCCCGCATGCACGCCCTTCCGCCGCCTTGCCGATCCCGGCGCCGACCACCCCCTCCCATTGCTAGATAGGCCATTCCCTCGTCGAAAAAGAAAGAGGGTTCTGCCGCGGCATCCTCCACCCCATTCCTGGGCGAGCTTTCCGGCACTCCGGCCATGCAGGGCGGGATACCGGCGGCTGCGTGCCTACCACGTCCACCAGGTGTTCGGCGATGGACTCGGACGATGAGGAGGCGCTCGCGGCGCTGATGGAGGAGGAAGCCGATGCCGACACCCAGGATGAAGAGCATCTGTTGGCTGTTGCCACCCCGCCCAGTCTGCTCATGAGCAATGCGAAGCCGCGGCGAGGTGGCTCGGTGCCGGGCCGGCTGAAGGCAAAGCAGAGGCATCAACTGGAAGGCTATTGCTTGTTCTAGTCCGACTATTTCATCGATGCTCCACTGCATGACGACAAAGTATTTCGGCACCGTTATCGGATGAGCCGAAAGCTCTTCCTCAGGATTGTGAATTCCATCCGGGAGTTCGACATCTACTTCAAG